AGTTTTTAGCGCAATTTTGGGAATCAATAACTTGAAAGTACAAAAAGTTTTTGCAAAAAAAATTGAAAAAACTTCTAAATTTTTCAATTTAAAAGCTTTTTTTTCGTTTTCATAATGATTTTTTTTCAAAAATGTTTTCCAATTGACCTATTTTACTATTAAGTTCAAATATATCTAAGTTCTATTTTTCGCTTAGATTTTTTATCACAACATGCAGAAGAAAACGACACCAACTGCTTAAAAAAAAACTTTTTTTTTGTTTTTTAAGACTGTGGTCAGACTATTCTGTGTTACTGGCACAGTAACCGGATATCCTTGTTCCGTTTTGGTATGTTCAGTTTTTAAAATACGTGACAGACGTTTTGTAGAAACATGATCAGTTTTCTGTACAAACCGATTGCTGCAAACTATTCTCGGTCCGTTTCGAAGTAGCTTGGTTGGTGTCGATTATTCATCCGTTATTATTTGTTGAGTTCTGATAGTTTGATTTGGAGTTGTTTGTTGAGGTGTTTCCTTGTTGAAAACTTTGAAAACTTGAAAATTGGCACGGAATCTCTCGGCATGCGTTTGTGTATATCTGGAACCATTCACTTGAGACAGTTAAAGGAGGACAGTCCCAGCCATTGCCAATAACATGCCCCTGCCATTCCAAGGGGACTCGGTTTGGTAGCTTGCGAGCGCATTGTTCGAACCTCTTGTTTGAAGGCCAATCGATTCACAAGGCACTACGCTAATGAAACATGATCTATTGAAAATAGTTTATAGAACTTTTGTGTTGAGGAAACCATCTTAAAAAATTTCGAGACATTAGTCTTCGAGAAGTCCAAGCTTCCTTTAAATATCTGAGTGTTTGAAAGTTGTAAAATTGCCATGTTTTAGATCATTTTATGAAGTCTTTTTGAAGTTTGTTTCACAAATTATTTATGCTTGGCCGATTTATTTTTGCACGAAAAATTATCCTGCGCACGAAATTGTTTTAAGTTGAAATGCAGCGAGCAAATTGATCATATTTTATATATGGGTGTATATGGAGTCTTAACAGTCCTAAGGTTATGAGTCTCAAGGTCAAAAGTTTTTCCCTAATTTTTATATGAACCAAAAAATGAATTTTTTGAGCGCTAAATGAAATTTTAATTTTATTCAAATGAATATATTTCTTCATCTTAGAGTTTTTTCTTCATCTTAGGGATCAAAAACTTGAGAAAAAAAAATTTTGAAAAATTAAAAAAAAATTAATTTTTTTTTGATGTTTTCGTTTTTCTTGTCGTCAAAATTTGTTTTCCAGTTTGCATATTTTACAAGGACTGACGCGAATCTAAGATCTATTTTTTTGCTCAGATTTTTTTATCACATCAACCCGAAAAAACGACACTAATTGGAAAAATAATTTTGTTGTAATTTTGTAACACTGGTCGGAACAAGCTGTGCTATTTGCACAGTAACCGGCTGTCCTTGTTGGTGTTTTGTCTTTTTCTTTCAACACGAGACATTGAACTGAAATGCGCTGCTTATTTTGTAAGGCTGATAAAACTTTGAATCATGTGCAAATATGAGTGTTTGCTTCTATCCGAAACTTTGAACAAGTACTTGATTTTTTTTGAAAAACAATTGCAGGATTATCCGAAACCTTTCTGCTGACTACTAGATTGGCGTGAGATTTCAGTGCAAAGAATTTACTCGAACTCATTTGACATTTTTTGTATAAAAATTTTAAGCCTGATTTCAAGCACTGAATACTCAAGGTGAAAAAAAAATCAGTCAAAATTTTTCGAAAATTGCCTGAAAACGCAGTTTTTCAAAAAATTTCCCGCGGCTTAGAAAAATTGGTCGAAATAGGATCTTTATAGTGATTTTAGACAGCTGAGAAAATCAATTTAGTTAACCTAAAAAAATCGACAAAATAAAAAATCCTAGATCCGCCTCTGGCCCCTGCTATCATTTAAGTCATTTTAGAGACTTAGCGGTTAGGTGAAATTACTAAAAAGGACAAATAACGGCTACGAAGATTTGCTCATTGTTTCTCTTATTAATGTCCACGCCCTTGAATGTGAAATTACTCAATTAGAACGAAATTCAATTAGCGATTAGGAAAAGTTGAAAAAGCAATTGGGGGAAGTTATTAACATTTTTGTTCATTTTTAAGCTGACGTATTTGTACTCTAATGTTTTTCTACAAGAACGTGTCACGGTTCACGGTTATTTATGATGTGGTTTTCATTGATTCATTAATGATATTGTGCCTTTTCTCTCTTTTTTCCTTTGTACGCAAGGGCTGAAAAATGAAACAATAGTCTTTTTTCGATTCCAATGCTGCTTAACTTTTTTTGCTTCTTTGTGATTGCGACCAGCAAAACAGGTTTTCAGTTTGATGACGTACAATTTGCTCTCCATTTAATGAACAATTCCCCCGTTTAAAACGGTAAGACTGAATTTCAATGAAGCACGTAAGTAGCTGCAGAAATGCAAAAAGGAATATGGTTGTACCTCTTTGGAATGTGAAGCTTACCAAGGAAGTTTACTGAGAGCCTGTCACATGCTGACATTTACTCTTCTAGTAATTCTTGACTCTCTTTTACACACATTCGAGCCCATTAACCCCTCAATTTTGAAATTCGAAAAGCGTACTTAACATTTTCATATTGCAAGTGAGCGACCTAAATTTACCCTGATTTGTTTACATTGCAAAGGAGAAGCAGGAAAATTTTTTAATTTCAATAGAGCGATTTGTTGCGCTTTAATCAACCCGAAGGGAGAGAACTTTCGTAATCTATGTTGTTCACGCTGTGATTTATAGAGGAATTAGTGATTATTTGCCTCTTTTTACTACCTGTTCGGCAGTATGTTTTGCATTTTCATCCAGTTGCACAAAAATGAACTAAATGAACACGTTTCATTTTGAATAATCCAACATTTTGAATACGGGCGGTTTTTCAATTTTTACGTAACGAGAGAACATTGCGTAATCTTTTTGTTCACGTGTTTTTTTTATAAATCAGGTCACGTGCATGTCCTTGAAAAAAATGTCCACTTGCGTTCGGTTGACCAATTTGACTAATACATAGGCAGTCGAACTGCGATCACACTATACGTTGTTCGCCTACAAACGGGAAAAATTTACCCATTCTTCACACGCTTCCTGTGCTCCTCTTTCCTGGTGCTAGGAAAATAAGACAACAGGCCATTAATACGAGAGGCCATTAAGACGACCAATAAGAGTTATTACATGTACAGTGAGCAGTTCGAATTTAAGCGGTTTAAATTTAACAGAAATACAATGTGGAGAATTACATGTGGCGTCGTTTTTAAGTCCCACCACAAACGGTTGTCGTCTTAACGGCTGTCGCCTTATTTGCCGGTCACCCTCTTTCGTTGTATTTGGACGGATGGTTCGGTTCATCTTGATTGCGTATCAGTTGTAAATACTTTTTGTTAAATTTTTCAATGGGAAAGCTAAGGTACTCCGGACGGGGAATTACTACTTAAGAAAATTGTAGTAAGCAAATACATAATTCATATCCCTATTTTTATACCGGGAAACAATTCAATCTCTTAGGCATTAGAACTGCCGCTTTTTACTCGATTAAAACAGAACACAAAATTTGATCACAAAAGCTCAATTATTTCAAGCAGTCTATCCTCAAAACGGCGTCAATCTATAATTTATCCGTCAACTCTGACTTTGCCGATTTGCTACTTCCTCTAAATTTATCTTTCACTCACCTTTAAAAAGACATTTTGGGAAAATGTCAGCAGCTCTGCCTATTCAGACGTTGCCGCAACTACAGGACTCGTTCGCGTGTTATCGCGAGAGGGAGCCCGAGCCAGACAAAGTGATCGCCACCTATATCTGGATAGACGCAACTGGACAGAATCTGAGGTGCAAGTCGAGAGTGCTGGATTCCAAACCAAAGAAGGTTGAAGGTACCATACACAAATAATGTTGGAATATGTACGAAAACAGATGTAAATTATTTTTGCTCCCTCTAATTTTTGGTTTAAACTGGTTAATTAGGGGGCTCTGCTTCTACAAACCACCCAGATATAGGGTGCCGGACATCAAGCCGACGGGACTTGAAGCCGAATTGTAACTCTTTTGAAGAATTTTCAACAGTATTTAGTGGCGTTTTCAAAAAATTTATGCCTCCGAATGGGTACTACTATGATAGAGTGGTCCCTCGAAAAAGCAACTATGATAGACGGGTCCCGTATGCATTTTGCATGCTATAATTTTGAAAACCAAATTGTGTATAAATTATTCATTTTAAAAATCTCGCAAAATATGTTCAGTCAATAACTTTTCAGAGTAAAAATTGTAATTACTACATTGTTTATATATTGAAGTTTCCTCGCATATTTTTACTTTACGGTTTAACAACCATAATTGGATTGACTTATTTGTCATCAAATTCCACTATTGGCGTTTTTTTTTTTTAACCTTAAAGTGGCGAGGGAGAGGTTTTAAGACGTAACAAATCATAAAATTTATTTGAAGATATACTGCGACATCTTTCTGAATGGCGAGATCATAATTATTAACCGTTTGAGAGCTCTATATGTCTTATTCTCAAGGGACCTGGTTATTTTCAAGGGACCACTCTATAATTAGTAGCAAAAAGTTCGGACAGACAGAATTAATTAAAATGAGCAATCAGTGTGTTTCGACGCTTTTTGCATGCAAAATCTGGAGCCGAACAACCTTGAATTTTTTGTCAGACCAAAATCAAAATGCGAGATCGTCGATTATCCGATGATTATGCTAGCCTACTTTTTCAATACTGCTAGGAACATCCAGATTTTACTATAAAACATTTCGACGCTTCGGATGTTATTACCCACCGTGGTTATAGGTTTTGAGCGAAACTCGTATCTACTCAACAATCTCCCTCCCATTATTATATCTACCAAAGAGTCTCCAGCCTTGTAAATAAATTGAGTAAATTCGCACTTGCGCGTTGTATGTAAATTCGAATTTGGCTGCATTCTGATTGGTCGAACGTTCGCTGCAATTAATCTTTTTAACGATCTCCTCCCCTTTCTTGAAAGGGGATTATTAAGTAGATTCCGTAACTCTGCTTTATGAACTTTCGACGTATTGTTTATTTCAGTTTTAATTTCGGTTGATGTCTAGACAGTTGCTCTTTTTAATTAACTCTGTCTGTCCGAACTTTTTGCAACTCTCTATATCATAGTAGTACCTCCGAATGATGTTAAGGAAAGTTGAAAAATAAAACATGGCTGAAGGCAATTTTCTTGATTATAAGCTATGCATTTCAAAAACCGGCTGATACATAAACGGATGCCAATCCCAACCCGGGTTGACAAAAAAATGCTTATCATACTATTTCATATTATGAAAAAAATGCTTATCATACTATTTCATACTATTTCATAGACCAAAAAAATACTATGAAAATAGCATGATAAGCATTTTTTCCCTACCACGAAATATTATGATAGGCATTTTTTCCATCCTATGAAATTGTATGATATGCATTTTTTCCATCAATGGAAAAAATGCATATCAAAAAATGAAACATTAACCCTGGACTTTTTTTCATAAGAAAACCCAGAGTGTAACTCGCAGTTACCACGCAGATGAACTGCATTTGGCAATTTTTGCCACCTACGTTAATTGTTACATTTTCACATGGAATTATACACCAAAAATGCAACTTTTTGTTTATGGCTAGATAATTTTTGGTTTGACAATTTTGGTAGTTGAGAAAAAATAAAATAAAATTTTGTTAAATCTCATGTAAATTCATCCAGAAACATCGTTAAATTAATTTGGAAGATTTTATTTTTTCTATAGCAAAATGCTTATCGTACAATTTTCATATATGAGAATATTATGATAAGTAATTTATTGACCAAAATTAAAATCATGTTTTTATTGAGCAGAATGATTCAAAAGATAGAAAAAGAACAAAGTATTTCTCTAAAAACGTTTAATACAGTTTTTAAATTTTGTATGAAAATTGTATGATAAGCATTTTTTCCATAGTCGTCATATATGAAACTATATGATAAGCATTTTTCTTTTATGGACGTCAACCCGGGAAGTGATTCATTGTCATGAACAAAGCTTATTATGGACTAAACTTGCCTACAATTTTGAAAAGCAACGTTTTACAGATGAAAAAATGGTGCTTTGAGGTGCTTGTAAAGTTTAAATTTCGGCCTGAAGTCCCTTCGGCTTGAAGTCCCGTCGGCTTGTTGTCCTAGACCCCAGATATAAACCTCACTTTCACGGTGTAACCATTATATTTACGATGTTTTATATGCGGACCAAATGTGTTTTCAATTGGTTTATCGACTCACATGCTCATTTTCAAAAAAAGACGTCGAACAAAACCTTACAAAATATTCACCTTCAATGCTCACATGCTCATTATCAAAAAAGACAACGTCGAACAAAACTTTAAAAATATATATTTGGAAGAAAGGCGGGGGCGGGGTTGGGATTGAAAAACCGATTTTGTACACTTCCCAACCTGTTACAAATTAATTTGGCAGTTGTTTTACGTGTTATTACGGCTAAATGCGAGTTGTTGTTACGATGTAAAGTATGAACAAAAAGAATTCCACAATAGTTAATTTGTTCATGTAAAAGTTTCAATATCAAATTCCAAATAATTTTAAAAATTGAAAGTGAAATGTGGTGGGGTAGAAAGCAAGAGCCAAAAACCTAACTCGGGTTACCAAATTAATCTGAAGAATACACCCATATTACTCATCCTGTCTATTTTCCACGCATCTGCATTGCGAATCGATCAATTTTCACAGTAGTTACATGAAAAAAGGAGCCCTTGTGTCGATTCTAAATATATGCAGATTACCCTGACTGGAACTTCGATGGATCATCCACTGGCCAATCCTCCGGCCACAACAGCGACTGCTGGCTGAAGCCCTGTGCAGTCTTCCGAGACCCCTTCCGACGAGACCCGAATGTGCTGGTGCTGTGCGAGGTGTACCAACACGACTGGACTCCCGACGCCCACAACAAACGACACTCGTGCAAAAAGGTAACAAAAGACCAGAAGACCAATTGAGTTCATGAAGTGCACTCAATACCTTTGATTTAGCTAGATCCTAAATTTCGAGGTATTTCAAACAGAAATATTTGTTCATCAAGTTTTACAGTCTGAATTTAATTGATTTTGAGTTCTTGAAGCTTTTCAAATCTTTAAAATTTTTGAAAAGGGAAGTTTTTAATTAAGCAATGAATTTTTCATTTTTTTTTCGATTGAACCAAATCAATTTGCCAAATGTACCTCCTGAATTGTTTCGTCTAATTGAGTCAAAAAAATTATGCTTGCAGGCAATGGACGCTGTGAAGGACCAGGTTCCCTGGTTCGGAATTGAACAGGAGTACACTCTGGTGGACCAGTCGGGATTCCCCCACCTCTGGCCACAGGGGGGATTCCCCGGACCCCAGGGCCCCTACTACTGTGGGGTGGGGTACACTAAGGTGAACGGGAGACAGATTGTAGAGTCTCACTTGAGTGCTTGTCTCTATGCTGGAGTGAAGATTTGTGGGACCAACGCGGAGGTCATGCCTTCACAGGTAAACGGGGCTGAGCGGTTATTTTTGAAAATCAAAGTCAATTGAGTCAAGAGCGTATCTAAAATATTTACTAGAGTAGCAAAATTTTTTCTATAAGTATTCAAAAATTCTACGCTTTTTGTTGTTGTCGTTGCGTTCTTCGTTAACCTCCCTGCCCGTGACTTAAGTTATATTAAGCACTATGAGCGCTTCTGGAAAAATTTTCATGTCGGTCGACCACACGAATATAAATATGGGGGCAACTATTTGGGCGGGCGATGAAGGGGTCGAGTTTCTTACGGATTTACCTAGACAGCTTTTCCGTTGGTGGACTAAGTTTTTCAAAATGTTATTGGCAGGCGATGAATTTTGGTCTGTGGAAGCATTAAGAAAGTTCTTCGTCTAATCCTGAGTTTTGAATGGCAATTTGATTGCTATTTCTCATTTTCAGATGTCGGTCATTTTTCTTCATATTGTGTTGATTTTCTGAAGAATATATTGATGTAATCCGGGTAAAATTCCTACAAATCTTGGGAAAGTCTTATATTTCCTCACAAAAGAGTACATTTTACAGTTCTCAAACATTTTTACGGTTCTGAAAACATATTATGGGTTCATCTTTGGTCTTATCTAATCACGTGCGCTTTACAATAGATTTGATTCTAACTGAGAACGACTTGGTAAACATATTGCGCTAAGCACATGGGCCTGTGTTGCAAGCCCGCATATTTGCAGAAACAAAGTTCATTGTGAACGGCAAGCAAATATGATCAAGACGTTATCAAATTGTACCGAATTAACAAATTTTTCCGTAGCCTTGAGGTGAAATTTGACCATGCAATGTCTGCGAACACTAAGTTTGCCGTTAAGAGTCAAAGCTTTGCCGCCCTGATTGACTTCTTCATAATTCTATACACGTCTATTAAAAATGCATCCTTAAGCTTTTAGACATTTAGTTTTAGATATTTTCCTTTATTTCCTGGTCAGCAAAAATTGTTTTCGTCATTTGGATGAAAAATTACTTGAGACACAATGACAGAAGAACACTTACAATTTCGCGGCAAAATTTCATTTTTCGGAATAGAAAATGAGAAACAAAAATCTTTTCTCACTTTTTGAAATTTTTGTAAGCGTATATCGAAAAATGCAGATCATAAAATTATTTTTCATATAAATTGTTGAATAATAAACATTTTTCTATGAAAAACAAAAAATTCACACTTCAAACATTTTTTATATATCCGACTTTTTCGGAGTCGATCTTGCTGAAAATGAAATGAAAAGAGCCATCAACATGGAAAATATGGTGCACGGACTGCATATAATTTCAGTGTTTTTTTGTTTAAAACATGTTCAAAACGTTTTAAACGTTTAAAACGTTTTTTTAAATCGAAACGTGTTTTTTGTAACCCTGATTAAAACGCCCTGTTTATTTGAAAACGTTTATTTAAAAAAGATATTTTTCAATTTTCAAAAATAATATTAGAAATAATTAAAAAAGTAAAAAGTTTTTGTCTATTTGACGGCCCTCATGTTAGAAGCGCATAGAAATGATTCTGTACAATAAGAACATTTTTTTCTCAAACTTCGAAACTTTTAAGTCATATATGGAATGCAAATAATTCAATTGATTTTTAGTTCATTTTAAACGACAAAATAGTTTCCAAGCTTAATTAATAAATTTCAAAAAAAATTCGCCTTTAAAGTGATATTTGTTTGACATGTTTTCCGTTTTTCGGTTCAGAGAGATGGTTATATTTGTCAAAATAACACCTAGGAAATTAAACGTATTTGCTCTCGATGAACTTATTTATTTTCTAAGCTGGAACTCTGTATCCTGCAATTTCAGAAATTAAAACTTTTAAACTTCTTAGACTCACACAATGAAGATTTAGACTGATACTGCTGATTAAAGTTTTTCAGATAGCTGTTTAACCAACACATGCAAGTTACTTTAAAAAAACTTAAACGTTTAAAATCAACCTCATCAACCTCCTGTCTTCATAAGTACTGCCGAAAGTTTGAAATAAGATGAAACAAATTGATAACAGATGCCCTGCAGAAACGTTTGCGAACCAGAAAATTTTTAAAATTATGTTACTTCACATTTTATGTTAGTTTTCCTAAAAATCAATTTTGTCAAGAAAATCCATTCCATGTTAAAAAGCTTACCGGACAATTCTATAGATAAAAATGAATGAAAATGGCATTATAAACACCTTTTTATACAATGGGATTTAGGTAAAATTTATTTCTTCGTAAAATTTAAGACAGCAGTTTTCATATCAAAACAAGGATAGGCGGTTATTGTGCAAGTAGCACAGAATATTTCGACCATATTCTTAAAAAAGCAAAAAAATGTTATTTTTCAAAAGTGTCGTTTTTTTTCTGCGCGTTGTGATAAAAAGATCATAACAAAAAGTAGAATTTAAGCATAATCGACAGTCATAATTAAAAAGGCCAATTTGAAATCAGTTTTTTTTTGTTGTAGAATAATAACCAGAAAAACGAAAAAAAAAATAGTAAAAAATAAAGTTTCTGTTGCTTTGCTGGCTCCAAAAATGGCTCCAAAAACTAACATCACGTAAATTTCGCGTAAATAAGCTATTGTAACCCTGCAAGCTTGCCTTAATAGCTCGAAATTAGACCAAAAATCAACAATTTCGAACCGGTTTTTCTCGACACTGAGAAAATTTATATAGTTTTTTAATGTCGCTCAAATCACGACTAAAAGGCCTTTGATATGATATATAACTCGACCCATTCCGATGATTGTTTGTGGTGTGATAAAAACCTGAGTTTGCGTGGAAAACAAAAAAGAATGAACTAACCACATCCAAAGAAAAAATTACCTCACATTTTGCAAATACGGAACAATTAGTATCAGTATTGTTCGAACTTAGGTTCCGTTTTTCTGATTTTTTTGGTCAAAAATACCAAAATCAGAAAATTTGCGTATAAAAACGCACAGGTTTAAAAGCAAGATAACCTCACAGATAAACTGCTTTTAGAGATTCGCCATTCCAACGAAATTTTTTACACATTTTTTTGCATGTGAAGAGAAAGTTTCTAATGAAAGGTTTCTATTGGTGTTTGAAAACTATGTCCTGCTTATCAATGTGCTTTCAGCCGAAGCACTAATGGAGATTTTCGGAGTTTAAAATCACCCAAGGAATAACCCAATGGACCAAAAACACTATCTCTACCCCATATATCTACTTCGAACTGCGAAATTAAGAATAATCGAAACTGTAGCTTAATTCGTAAAAGTTGGGCTACTGAAAAACTGGCTGACAAATTCATATAATAAAAATTAAAAATATCAATCATACTGAAAAGCAAAACAGAGTTTTCTAAAGCAAATAGGAAATTTTCAACTTCAGCTTTCAAATTTAGGCAAAAAAGAAAACTTGTCACATTTCCTGGAAAATTCGGGTTTTGTTTTGTCCAAATTACTGCTTTCTGATCGCATGAAAAAATAACAGGTAACTTAAAAAAAACAGGTTTATTCTGCTAAATTGTTAAAACTTTCAACACAATAGCGGAATGATATTTCATCTGAAAACAGAAAAACACTGATTACTCCGCATATTAGTAAGCTAGCCACCATATGACGTTGCAATTAACGTCAAAGTGCAGAATCTAATGGTGGGCGGATTAAAAAATCTACCTACTGGAATTGCCCATATATGCAGTTACGCTCTGCTGCCGAACAAAAGGAAAGAAGGTTGCTCAAGTTTCTATAATAGACGGATTAGAATTGAGTGCAACCTTCAAGAGGGGTAAAAAAATAAGAGTAAAACTGACTGAATAATGAAAATTGGAGATCAGTACTCGAATTGAAAATTTTAAAAGAATAAATAACTTTTGAAGCTTTTTTTTCTCTGGAACAGTTTTGTCTGTGCAATTTAATAATTTTGGCGGATTTTTTATAAGAAAAATCGGGTAAAAGGTCTTGAGCTTAGAACTGAGAAAAAAATTGAGTTGGTAAGATTGCTAACTTGGCTAGTTTGCTATAAGAGATTTAATCGGTCGATCTTTTCAATCATCTATGAGCACTTTGAGTAAGCAGCGAATTAACAGACGCCAAGCTTTACTAGACATTGACGCCAAATGTATCCAAGTCTTACTAGATATTGAGCGCGCGCGTGAAAATATAAAAAAGTTCCATAATTCTTTGAAATTTAGTTTTTTTCTTTCTAATCAAAAACCACTTCAGAAACGTTAAATCGTGTCCAAAACATTGTTTTTCACCTGATGCTATTTTTCACCCAATTGCATTTTATTGCGGTTTTGACAGACCTCACCTACTGTCAAAAAAGAGTGCCCGATAAAAAAGGCTTAATTTATATACGAAAACAAAAAGATCTCCATTGCTCAAGTTTTCTTTCAAGAAATTTGTTCGGTGCAATTTTTAGAATGCTTACATAGACAGTCTACAGGGTTTGACCGAGACCAAAGATTCCCAATTTCGAGAAATTGTTCAAGTTTTTTGACAGAATAAATTACCTGATACCTTTATATTAAAGTATTTGACTCTTCTGACCTGTTTTTAGCTTAAACACAACAAAGAGAAAATTTGACTGAAATTTCCAAATTGAAATGTTCATCTTCAGCTTTTTTTTTCCGAATGGACACATACAACTACGGCGTTTTGTTTTCGAGACAAATTCGTTTAAAGTTTTGAGTTTTTACTCCAATTTGGGGCGAGTCGAACTTAGCTTTCTTTTTCTCTGCTGCTTACCCACACTGGATTTTCATCGATAGTAGTTGCTTATAATGGATTATTAGTGACAAATAATTGATTATAGATGCCAGTTTTGAAACTTAAATCCATTTTGAGACACGTCAGTAACGTGTCCCATTAAAGGTCCAATCAGTGAGAAATAAATTTAAGTATACCTCATAAAGGGGCATAAAAAGCCCCAGTCCAGAAAAAGTCCGCAAAACATTGTTTATAAATCATAGTATTTAAAAACTTAGTATTTAAAAAAACTTAGTATTTAGAAAGGTTCCGTTTTTGTTTTTCATTCAGATTTTGTTAATAACTATTGAAATAGACTCGTTGTTGCTTTTCCAGTGGGAGTACCAAGTGGGTCCGTGTGTGGGAATAGAAATGGGGGATCATCTGTGGATGGCCAGATTCATCATGGACCAGATCAGCGAGGACCAGGCAGTCGTGGTCAGTCTGGACCCCAAGCCCATACCCGGCGACTGGAACGGGGCAGGGTGCCACACCAACTACAGCACCCTTCCCATGCGAGAGGAGGGAGGCATCAAGTAAGTTTGGGCATTTTTACATATTATTTGGAGATTTAAAACACAATTTTAGGCGTGAAACATGCCGCAATTTACTTTGAAGACTATAAAATGAAATTGTACCGATAGCATGGCAGTTCATTTGATTTTAATAAATTATGCGCGGTGTTCCAGCATGAGGGAATCCCTCGCATAGTCAGTCGGATTGGAAAAATTAAGATAATCAAAATCTTAAAAGATCCTCTGCGCACCCAAAGGTCCCCCTTTGGTACTTTTTAAGAAATCCATTTTTGGCCGACCGACCCTAAAATTTTTCTAAGGCGCCAGTATATATTAATTTTGAGGTGGAGCGCGCGCGCCAAAAGCAATTTTTAAGTCAAAATTTTCCGAAAAGTGCCCAAAAACGGATTTTTTGACCAGTTTTTTTTCATAAGTTTGCCTGCGGCGCAAAAGACTTTGTCTAAATAGCGTCTCTTTAGTGTTCTGGGACCGCCCGCAAACTCAATTTGGTCGAGCTAAAGAAAAGAGCGACAAAATTTTCAAAACCTTTTTGAAAATCCGCCCCCCTCTCTCGAGAAAATCCTAGATCCGCCCCTGGTTATGAGAATAGTATTTTCATATCGAGAGGAAATTCAAACCGAATAGGAGAGAAGACCCTTACTGTTCTTAGGAATCATTTTTTTTGTGACGAAAGAACTAAGACAGTTTCTTCAGGAATTGTTAAGCTTCTTCCAGAGATTCGCTTTTCTGCCTTTGATTAAAATGCGCTTTTTTCCCAATTAGCGCCCAGAAAACGTTGCATCATTGAGTGTAATTTGAAGGAGAGAAGTCGTTAAAATCTTTTGTGCCAATAGTTTTTTGATCTTGCCTCATAGCAAGAAAACAAATCTCAGAAGGTTTTGGAAAACAAAGATTCAATGTTGTGAAGCCGAAGGATGGGGATTTCTTTTCCGACCCCATTTTTATATTCCTGCTAATTTTTAACAAATTAGTTTCAAAGCAAGAGATCAGAAAATGAGAAAATTTTAAAATTCTTTTATCCAATAAAATACGAGGAGTAGTGGCTACAGATTTTGACCTGACGCTTTGTGTAGAGTTTTTTTTTAGAATAATCGGAGTTTGCAGGCTAAGGTGTCTGTTTTAATTTTCAGGTACATCGAAGAAGCGATTGAGAAACTGAGCAAACGACATGATGCTCACATCGCCGCCTACGATCCCTCGGGTGGCGAGGACAATAAGCGACGACTGACTGGACTCCATGAGACAGCCAGAATCGACCAGTTCTCGAGTGGTGTCGCGAATAGAGGCGCCAGTATCCGAATCCCGAGGCACTGTTCGGCCGAAGGCAAAGGGTATCTCGAGGACCGAAGACCGGCATCCAACATGGATCCCTACGTTGTCACTGAGATTATCGTGAGAACTACTCTTCTCAACGAAAAGTGATTAACTGTGAATGAAACACCTGAAATGGAACTCTCAGAAGACGACAGCGGACTGATTTATCTGTAATAAACGTATAACCAACCAATCAAACTTACACATCAGTGCACGATTTTTGAACCAAGATTGATCATTTATTGTGATATGATAAAAATATATTGAAACTATATCTTTTGGTTGTCAATAGGTGCCATCAGGTGTAACTCAGCCCAGTGGAAATAAATTTTCGAATCAATTGGGGTGGCGTAAGGAAAGGCCTAAGAAATCACTCCTTAACAAAATTGAAATGTAGAGTTATGGACAGCAAAACAAAATAAAACAGGGTTCTTTCTATTTTGCTCTACAAAAATTTTAGATGTATACTTAGATAAAACCGTATTTATGAACAAAAACCCTGACTATTTGCAGTTTTTTTTTCAGTTTTGGGGTATATTTTGGAAGTGGATCAATACAGCTGCATATGGTTCGAAATATTGTATTTTGAAATGCCAAAATATTGATTCAGAGCTGAACGTTAGATTTATCGACCAGTTTTGATTAGCGCCAAAAACGATTCTCGAAACGCTTTTCCAGGTGCGAGAAATTCAACTTGGACTACGGTTCAAATTTCTTGCAAACATTGAGGGTTAAGACCCCGAATCACTCATTGAATGCTTGTTACCGATAGTCTGACCTTGACAAAACAAATTTCAATAACTTATCTATAAAAAAGTAAATTACTGTCAAAAAATTTCTTGAAACTAAGACATCTGAAACTGTCGTGGAAGTTACGAAAACACATCGGACATTTTTAAAATTCTAAGGATTAGATTGACGGAAATGCATGGAAAATTGTTCATCCGCAAACCAATAAAAATGAATGAGGGTTTTTATGTTTGGACTCCTATTATTTGAATTTGACGGGACAAAAGTATTGATCGACGCAAGTATTTCAACCAGCTTAGGCATTTTTTTCTGATAAAATCAATGTGTTTTGTATTCAGTTTGAACGCTTGAATACTTCAATTCCTTTTTGATAAATACGGTATTGTTTGCACCTGCTTGAGAAACAGTGGGATCTTAAAAATGAGACCCGCAGTACTACGCAGGATGCGTTTTGATTACTTCAACAAGCAACCTACATTTGAACACAATCGCTGCGATTTGATAAATCGATTTCTATCTAATCTTAACAGTTAATGCTAACTGTATTACGGATGTGAACGCTCGTTCATTAAGTTTTGTGGTCTATAGTGTAAAATCGTTGGCGTAAAGTGAGGAAAATAGACGGAAAAGTTTTTAATCGTATTTGACTTTTTTTTTCAAATACTTCTGCAATGGCATTATTTATGCAGTACTCTATTCCATCATCAAATTGTTTCCTATAGCTGGATTTTGAGTATAGTTGTAAGATGTATTAAACATCACTCCAAATACCTGAATGATCAATTTAAGCAACGCTATAAGTCGGCAATAATTCGTGTCTAATTTAGAACCTTCTTTGTGCATCGATAAGTTTCGCATCCAAAAGTTCTAACTGGCAAACAGCTTGTTTTTTTTGAATCATTTATTTTTGTGGTCTGGTCTACATTGGAAGATTTATTTACCAAATATAAAAATAAAAAGCCGAATTCGAGGCTAGCGGTTGCCTAAAAAAATCAGACCTGAAAGATTCAGATAAACTGAGCCCTTCTTCCGAATATAGTACGGTTGAACATAACAGTTCAGCTGAGTTTGCAAAGAAAAATATTGAAATCACTTGCGATCAGTTGAGACCATTGTCCAAACTACCGATTTTGTTAACTGCTTAGCTAAAAAAATTGCTGTTTTTTAATTTTTACAGAATTCTTTTTAGTTTTCTTCAGTTGAGACTATTGTCCACAGTACCAATTTTGTTAATTGCTTAGCTGAAAAATTTGCTTTTTTAATTTTTAATGATTTCTTTTTAGATTTCTTCAGTTGAGACTATTGTCCACATTACCGATTTTGTTAATTGCTTAGCTGAAAATGTTGTTTTTCTATTTTTTAATGATTTCGTTTAAGTTTTCTTAGAAATAAGTAAAATTGCATTTAGTCTCCAATACATGCTTTCCATGAAATTATATAGTAACATGTCTAAACATTATCTCATCAGCTTTGTTTATTAAATCAGTGTACCTCAGTTTAAAAAAAAAGTTTATGTTTGATTCCTACTATTTGAACTTGACGGGACAAAAATATTGATCTACGCGATTGTTTCACCCAGCTTAGGCAATTTTTTTTCTAATAAAATCAATGTGTGCTTTGTATTCAGTTTGAAAGCTTGAAAAGTTCAATTCCTTTTTGATAAATACGGTATTGTTTGCACCTGATTGAGAAACAGTGGGATCTTAAAAATGAGACCTGCAGTACTACGCAGGCTGTGTTTTGATTGCTTCAACAAATAGCCTTCATTAGCACACAATCGCTGCGATTTGATAATTAGATTTCTATCTAATCTTAGAAGTTAATGCTAACTGTATTACGGATGTGAACGCTCGTTCATTAAATTTTGTGGTCTATAAGTGAGGAAAACAGACGGAAAAGTTTTAAATCTTTTTTGATTTTTTTTCAAATACCTCTGCAATGGCATCATTTAGACAGTACTCTATTCCATCATCAAATTGTTTCCTAAAGATGGATTTTGATTATAGTTGTAAGATGTATTAAACATCACTCCAATTACCTGAATGATCAATTTAGGCTACGCTACAAGTCGGCAATAATTCGTGTCTAATTTAGAACCTTCTTTGTGCATCAAAACCGGTTAATTCGTGTCTAATTTAGAACCTTCTTTGTGCATCGATAAATTTCGCATTCAAAAGTTCTAACTGGCAAACAGATTGTTTTTTTGAATCATTTAATTTTGTGGTCTGGTCTACTTTGGAAGATTTGTTTACCAAATATAAAAATAAAAAGCCGAATTCGATGCTAGCGGTTGCCTTAAAAAATCAGACCTTAAAGATTCAGATAAATTGAGCGCTTCTTCCCAGTATAGTATTATTGAACAAAGCAATTCAGCTGCGTTTGCAAAAAAATATTAAAATTTCTTGCGATCAGTTGAGACTATTGTCCACATTACCGATTTTGCTAATTGCTTAGCTGAATAAGTTGCTTTTTTAAATTTTAATGATTTCGTTTTAGTTTTCTTCAGTTGAGACTATTGTCCATATTACCAATTTTGTTAGTTGCTTAGCTGAAAAAGTTGCTTTTTTAATTTTTAATGATTTTGTTTTAGATTTCTTCAGTTGAGACTATTGTCCACATTACCGATTTTGTTAATTGCTTAGCTGAAAAAATTGCTTTTTTAATTTTTAATGATTTCTTTTTAGTTTTCTTAGAAATAAGTAAAATTGCGTTTAGTCTCCAATACATACTTTCCATGAATTTATATGGTAACATGTCTAAACATTATCTCATCAGCTTTGTTTATTAAATCAGTGTACCTCAGTTTAAAAAACAAGTTTATCTTTGATTCCTACTATTTGAACTTGACGGGACAAAAATATTGATCTACGCGATTATGTCACCCAGCTTAGGCAATTTTTTTCTGATAAAATCAATGTGTGCTTTGTATTCAGTTTGAAAGCTTGAAAAGTTCAATTCCTTTTTGATAAATACGGTATTGTTTGCACCTGATTGAGAAACAGTGGGATCTTAAAAATGAGACCTGCAGTACTACGCAGGCTGTGTTTTGATTGCTTCAACAAATAGCCTTCATTAGCACACAATCGCTGCGATTTGATAATTAGATTTCTATCTAATCTTAGAAGTTAATGCTAACTGTATTACGGATGTGAACGCTCGTTCATTAAATTTTGTGGTCTATAGTGTAAAATTGTTGGCTCAAAGTGAGGAAAACAGACGGAAAAGTTTTAAATCTTTTTTGATTTTTTTTTCAAATACCTCTGCAATGGCATCATTTAGACAGTACTCTATTCCATCATCAAATTGTTTCCTAAAGATGGATTTTGATTATAGTTGTAAGATGTATTAAACATCACTCCAATTACCTGAATGATCAATTTAGGCTACGCTACAAGTCGGCAATAATTCGTGTCTAATTTAGAACCTTCTTTGTGCATCAAAACCGGTTAATTCGTGTCTAATTTAGAACCTTCTTTGTGCATCGATAAATTTCGCATTCAAAAGTTCTAACTGGCAAACAGATTGTTTTTTTGAATCCTTTAATTTTGTGGTCTGGTCTACATTGGAAGATTTATTTACCAAATATAAAAATAAAAAGCCGAATTCGATGCTAGCGGTTGCCTAAAAAAATCAGACCTTAAAGATTCAGATAAATTGAGCGCTTCTTCCGAGTATAGTATTATTGAACAAAGCAATTCAGCTGCGTTTGCAAAAAAATATTAAAATTTCTTGCGATCAGTTGAGACTATTGTCCACATTACGGATTTTGCTAATTGCTTAGCTGAATAAGTTGCTTTTTTAAATTTTAATGATTTCGTTTTAGTTTTCTTCAGTTGAGACTATTGTCCATATTACCAATTTTGTTAGTTGCTTAGCTGAAAAAGTTGCTTTTTTTAATTTTTAATGATTTTGTTTTAGATTTCTTCAGTTGAGACTATTGTCCACATTACCGATTTTGCTAATTGCTTAGCTGAATAAGTTGCTTTTTTAAATTTTAATGATTTCGTTTTAGTTTTCTTCAGTTGAGACTATTGTCCACATTACCGATTTTGTTAATTGCTTAGCTGAAAAAATTGCTTTTTTAAGTTTTAATGATTTCATTTTAGTTTTCTTAGAAATAAGTAAAATTGCGTTTAGTCTCCAATACATACTTTCCATGAATTTATATGGTAACATGTCTAAACATTATATACTCATCAGCTTTGTTTATTAAATCAGTGTACCTCAGTTTAGAAAAAAAATGTTTGTCATAAACTGCCATTCAGCCTTTTTTGCTGAATAAGTATCACTTTTATTATTTAACTACGGTGGGTATAGTTTTTTATTCCTTCAGGCAGCATGTTATCGTTTCAGCAAAATTATCACACGTTTCAACAAAACTTCGGAGGTTTTTTATATGACTCTCTTACACTTCCTACATCCAACGAAATTTTTTTCGGATTCGAGAGGCTGAAAAAGAAAACTTGTATCCCTTATAAGCTAAGATTTTTATGCTGTCTACTTCAAACTTGATTATGACAGGACAATGATTAAGGATTTGG